CCCCAAAACCCCAAAACCCCAAAACCCCAAAACCCCATTTTAAGTTAATATCTTGAATTTTTAAGAAAAATGTCTGCTGAGGAATACAAAGATCTCCAGAATTTCGAAGAAGACAAATCATGGTATGCTATTTAAGATTTCAACACATCTATAACCATGTGGGTTCTCTTCTACATATTTCTACAAACAAATTTTAGCCCTTATCTCCTATAAATATCATACAAATTTTCAAATAGAGCTTCCACTGAGATTTCTTCTGTTATGGAAGAAACAAAAGACCCACCAACCAAGCCAAAGAAGAAGGTGCAGAAGCCACAGAAGGTTAGACGTTCCAATAGAATTGCAGAGATGAAAAAGAAGGCTTTGCAAGATAAGAAAATTAAAGAATTGGAAATGAAGGCGAAGTTAAAGGTCGGCTATGTCTTTGAAGAAGACCTCTCCCTTCATAAATCCCATAGAGTCTCTCATGTAGAAAGACCAGAGAGGATCTGGTCAATTTATCTTCAGCTACTGAAAGCTGGACTGATTGACAACATGTATAAAGTTGATGGGGATCTTATTAATGATGAAAATATTCTTCTGTGCCATTCTGAAGAATATCTTATGAAATTCAATAAGGTCGTGGGAATTGACGATGATGCTCAAGAGCCAGCTCCAGCTAAGAGAAATAAGAATATGTATCACTTCCAGTTTGATACTTATGAGAACAAATGGTCAAATCACTGTGCCAAATTAAGTGCTGGATGAGTCATTGAGACAGTAGATGCTCTCTATACAGACTACATAAAATCAGGTTTCTGAATAGTCAGACCACCAGGGCATCATGCTCATGGGTCTTCCGCCTCAGGTTTTTGCTTCTTGAACAACGTTGCTATTGCAGCAAAATATGCACAAAGCAAGTATGGGGTGAAGAAAGTTTGAATCTTTGATTGGGATGTCCACTTTGGAGATGGAACTTCCTCAATTTTCAAATCAGACCCCTCGGTTTTGTTCATATCAACCCACAGATATGAGGGAGGAGCTTTCTACCCTTCTAGTCCTTTAGGAGGAGAAGATAATGTAGGAACAGATGAGGGCGAAGGATTCAATATTAACATTCCATTTAACAAGGAAGGCATGGGAAATGATGAATATATTCATGTCTGTGAAAACCTAGTTTTTCCTGTTATAGAGAAATTTGAACCTGAACTTATTTTTATATCAGCAGGATTTGATAGTGCTGAAGGTGATCCACTTGGAGGCTTCAGCCTGACACCGGCTGGATATGCATATATGTGTCAAAGAATTATGAACTTGTGTCAAGGTAAGTTAAGCTTTTAAATTTTAGAAACATCAAAGCCTAAAATGATAGCTGTTCTTGAAGGAGGATACAACTTAGAGTCAATTTCAAACTCTTCTGAAGCAGTTGTAAGAGTTCTTCAAGGTGAAAAATTACCTATTGAATCTATGAATGCTACTCAGACAGTAGAACAAATGAGAGAAAATGCAAAACCTGATACAGAAGCTCTCGAAGTAGTTGAAAGAGTTAAGAGCAATATCGGGAAGTTCTGGGATTTGTAAAACCAAGAAGATTTCAATTATTTGTAATTCTCAGGGGTTTTGGGGTTTTGGGGTTTTGGGGTTTTGGGGTTTTGGGGTTTTGGGGTTTTGGGGTTTTGGGG